CACCCCCCAAAAAAAGAGAAAGCAACTCGCAGAACAACCCACCGTGGCTTAAAAATAAATGCTGGGATCACAAATGTTTTCATGTAGTGCAAGCAATAACATTAGCCGAGCCTATCTTTTAATTACATAGTTTGGCCATGCAAATATTCAAGACATTTTTAGTAAGGCAATGGACTTTTATTTAAATGTGTAATAGAAAGAGCTCCCCTACAACTGCTGATCGGTGCTTCTTTCTTATTTATTGCCTTCCCTTCTCTCCTGCTCCGGCCTGCCCCAACAATAAAATCCTACTTAGCACTTGCTTTTTCCAAAAAAACGTCATTTTTCACCATTTTAGGAGTGAAGAAGAGAGAAAACGGAAGAGATTTCTTCTTTCTTTCTTTCTTTTTCTTTCTTCAGAGACTAACGTTCTCTTCTCCCAAATATTTAATCATAATTATATTAAGAAACATTTATAAAAAGTTAAGTAATAAAATTAAATAGGTTGGAGAAAAACAGAGAAGCAGACAGCAAGGATTAAGTGTAGTAATATAAAGAATAGATTATATTTAATGAAAATTTCCTCCGTGTTCAACATTTTTATTATACTTAATAGCGCTGGGCTTCATTTTTGTCTCCAGTAATTGTGTGTCCATAATGAATGGCCATTCTTATTCCCCCATTGAGCCCTGACAGAAATTAATAAACCTAATTCTGTAGGTTTAAGTTTAATTTTGTTGAAATATATAAAGTAGTTACATATTCACTTAGCAGCCAACCGAAATGCGGTGGCCTTAAGCCTCTCAGCAACTTTATAACGAGTAAATTGTTTTCTGGATCTTTCTCTGCCCCCTCTTTGTGTGCCTTCTTGTTCTGATTTTAGCCAGGAGCCTAGTTTGTGATGCTTCCAGCTACAGAGGACGTGCACAGCCACGGAGGTGGAACAGTGGCCAGGGTGAATGTCGTAAAACGTACAATTATGTGATCTAGTCCTTTTCCAAGAACAGCTGTTAATGATTGCTAAGCATTCTCTGGTTGGTTTACAGTTTGATCAAGAAAGTATGTAATAAAAGACTGGGGGATGGGCATTGTACAGGCCAGCAGTCCTCTCGCAATAAATAACATGCACAGTCTGGTTGCCAGAGCTCAGGGAGTATGGAATCTCCCCTTTGGGCTTCAAGCACCGGGGCGGGGTTTCCATGAGGAGTCAGCCTCGGACAATTACAGGTATTGAAAAGAGCCATATTGACGTGGGATCACATCTGACTGGTTGACCCATTAGTAATTGACTATTAATGTCTTCTGGGAGAAATGTCAGCTGCATCTGGGCAACGTCCCTCCAACCCTTCCTCCATCTCTCTCTCAATCCCTCCCTCCATCTGTCCTCCCATTCGTTCATTCAACAAATGTTTGACTCTATCACGTATTCTCAGTGTAGGGATAAAAAAGAAAGCATAGACCAATATGACCCCAAACCTCTTGGAGTTTATCATTGTTTTTGGTTTTTTTAAGGTAATTCACAAATAATCATAAAAGTATGATTACAAGCAATCTATGGGAGAGAAAACACAGAAGAGAAAGGACATTGACATGCACGCAAAAATCAGTAAGTGCTTTCCTGAGGAAATTACAACAGAGATGAGATCAGAGGGAGAGGAGGAACTGGGCAGGAAAAGGTGTGGGTGGGGTACCAGGTACAGCAGCCCTGTGGGGCAAGGAGCGGGGACAGCAGGACAAACCTGAGGACCTGAGGACAGGATGGTGAAGGAGGGATAGGAAGGGACAGGAGATGAGGTTTCCAAGAAGGGGCCTCACAGGCCACTCTAAGGGGTTGGGCTTTATTGTAAGAACAATGGGGACCATCAAAAGGCCTAAAGAGGCAAGAGACTTGCTCAGAGCTGCTGTTATGGGAATAAGAAGCATTGGGTAGACAAAGGCTGTAGGAAAGCTTGTCCATAGCATCGTTTATTTTAAAAATCAGGAAACTGATAACCAGGAAGTTTAGTCAATACAGGAGCACAAACCAAGCATTCTGCTTCCAACAGTCTTTTTCTTACACCTTATCAGACTCCTTCCCTGGAACCCTAGCAACCCTATTTGACCAACCACGATATTGAGAATTCAAAGCATCATGCCCATGAATTCCCTTCCAGAGTTACAGGTAACTGCATTTAATGTATATCTACCAAATGCTTTCCAGTAACGTCTTCAAAAATATTCTAGTAGACTGAAAGAATGAAGTAATGAGGACTGTTGCAGACACAGCATACCATAGTGATCCTATTTCACAGATGAGCTATGTAAAGGTAGATGTCAGGGATTTATATCCTCATATCCTCCATCTCTTTTCCTTATGTTATTTCTCCTGTGAATTGTGACTTCATATACAGTAATGGAATTGAACAGCATGGGACTCAAAGTGTGCAGCAACCACACTGGGATTTAAGAAATCACGGAAGTAGTTGCAGCTCTTGCCTCAAATTAACCATGGGATCCTGGGCAAGACCCTTCCTCTCACTGGGCCTCTGTCTCCAGGCAGTGGGATCTCAGGTCTGGGAAGCTTCTGAGTTTAAGAAAGAGGGGCTGGCCCAGTGTGGAGGTCCTAGTGAGATGCTGCTCTGTTGACCCTTAGGACCTCACTGGGCTATGCATGACCCACCTAATCACAGCAGAGGTGAGAGACAGAAGGCAGCCTGCAAGAGTCAGAGTTACTAGGCTTCAGTCCAGTTGCTGTGTGACCTTATGCAAATTAATTAATTGTGCTGGGCCTCAGTTTGCTCATCTATTAAATGTAAGTCAATATATCTTGCCAGGTTGCTGTAGATACTAGAGAAAACATACAAAAACATGTGACTTAGTTCCTGACTTAAGCAGACACCCAATAAGCATTAGATACCATTCCTTCTCTCTTCTTTCCACCCATCCTTTCAAATATCCCTTCTCCCCTTTCTCCTTTGCTTTTCTTCCCTGCCTTCCATCCTTTCCTTTTACTTGTCTCTCCCTCCTCTAGAATAACTGCAGTAGTTCTTGACAGGTCACCTTCATACCCTCCCTTATTCTAAGATGTGAACTTCATTTCTTTGGCCAAATGCAAATGTGAGCTTCAGGTTGCAGATATATTGGGTTGTCGGAAAAGTCATGACGTATTTTGTCTATGTTTTTCAAAGGTCATTTATTTATATAAAGAACAAAGATCAATCAATGATATATTGCCTGTTTTGTTCAATAACCTTTTGCCATCTTTCAGTGAGCTTCATAATCCCTCATTTATAGAAGGACTTGTCTTTATTTGAGAAAAACTGAACAAGGTGCTGATTTACAGCCTCATCTGAATTGAACATTATATCATGCAAGGAGTTTTGAAGAGAGCAAACCACATGGAAGTCTGACAGCGCAAGGTCAGGCGAGTATGGTGGGTGTGGCAACACATCCCATCCAAGCTCCAATAACTTTTGACAGGTGATCAAATTTGTGTGTGGTCTCGTGTTGTCACAATGGAACACACTCCTTTACAATTAACAAGCTCTGGACATTTCTGGATGATGGATTCATTCAAATTGTCCAATTGCCAACAGTACACATTCAAATTGATTGTTTGGTTCCTTGGTAGGAGCTCAAAAAACACGACACCTTTAAAATCCCACCACACTGACAGCATAACCTTCCTCTGATGAATGTCTGCTTTCAATGTCGTTTGAAGCGAATCATCATGTTGGGACCAAGACTGTTTGCACACCACATTGTTGTAAACAATCCACTTGTCATCACCAGTTATCAGTTGCTTCAAAAAAGGATTGTTTTCTTCACATTTAATGAGCATTTTGCAGATGTTTATACACACTGTCAAATGAACTTCTTTGAGTTCATGTGGAACCCAAATATCTAGCTTGCTTATGTATCCTAGCTTCTTCAGGTGGCCGTGAATGCTTGAATGATGAGTGTTCAATGTTTCTGCAATCTCTCGTGTCATGTAACTTGGGTTTGACTCGATCAATGCCTTTATTTTGTCACCATCAACCTTGGTGGGCCTCCCTGACTGAGGAGGGTCATTGAGATCAAAATCACCAGCACGGAATTTCATGAACCATCATTGGCACTGATATTCTTGTAGAGCATTGTTGCAGTAAACTTTATGCAACTTTTCACAAGCTTGATACACATTCTTCCCTTTATGGAAGTAAAACAGTAAAATATGGCAAAAATACAGTTTGGTCTTCCATCTTCAACTTGTTGTAAAATCTCCAAAACTCAACCAAATCTCTGGTTTTTTTTAGAATGAAGCTACAACTGCCAGCTGTCAAATGACACAGCAATAACATAGATGCGAGCGAATGACTCTAGTACTTCCAAAAATGAACTAGTGCCACCTGTCACAAACATGCATCATGACTTTTCTGAAAACCCAATAATTCTGATCGCTGGTGTCGTTGAGAGTTTTGGGTCTGCTTTGATCTGATTCTACTTTGAGAACTTCTATAGAAGGGGCAGGTAAAGACAGCCCCCAAATGACATTGTCTGCGAGGAAGAAGAAAGAGTGCAACAGAGGAGTAAGGGGACCCAGGAAGGATAGAGCCTGGTCTCCGAGACCAACCCACCCCAGGATTGACCTCTAGTCAGGACTTCTCAAGAGCCAGAACCAAAATCCGCTTCCCATGGGGCCCAACAGACTGAAGCTGCTATTTTGCTTCCCAAGGTTATACGTTCAAGTACACTGAGTATGTGTGTTGGGGAAACATGCCATTGATAAGAACAGGAGATTGTCTTGAGAGTGTTTCACTGGTCCTGCCCTCCCTCATTTCTCCCTGAACCCTGATCTCTCCTCTGGGAGCCTGTCAATGCCAAGCCACAGACTCTAGCATTGCTTTGCCTTTTGAACCACCCGCTCTCCACATACTGCAACGAAAAACCATCTTTTGATAAGTGGAGCAATTAGCAGCCTGGTTGTTGGTGGTTATCAGTTACCCTCATTCCCATCAACACCAAAAAAGAGGGGGTGGGGAGTCTAAGATTCAAGAAATCATAAGCATCCCTGTTTCCTAAGTGGAGGGCAGGCTGTGGTAATGTGTGATAGAGTTTTGCATCTACTCTTGCCAAAAAGATTATTATTTTTTCTTTTATGGAAGCTTGTGAAGAAGAGGGCTTCGGAAATGTTTTTGTTTGTTTGGGGAGGTTGGGTTGGACAGTGGTTTTTATCTGCCTGGGCAGAGTCAGCATGGATGTTGTGTCTACCTATCTCAGGATAGTAAAAGCCAAGGAATTGATAGTAAGCAGGGCAGTGTTCCTAAAACCACCAGTGTGTACACGTGTGAGATAGAATGTTATAATGAAGATACTTAAGCTAACTATTAAGGGATCCATCCAATTCACCCATCAGTGCATCTCTCCATCCTTCTACTTATCCCTCTACCCACCCATCAGTCCATCCATCCATCCATCCATCCATCCATCCATCCATCCATCCATCCTTCCACCCACCCATCAGTCCATGACTCAATCCATCTGTTCATCCTTCCATCCATCCGTTCAACCATCAACAGATATCTTTTGAACAACTCTTAATATTTTGGGGTTTCTGCTGGCACCTTCGGACTCCACGGTGAACCTGGTAGACACATTTCCAAGCCCATCAAGTCCTCAGTTGAGGAGAGATATATGACAGATTAAAAAAATCTAAAGAACAGTGTGATAAGGATTGAGATAGGAGGAGTTCAAGGTGCAGGGAGAGAACATCCAATAGACATATAACTCAGGCTTTGAGTCACCAGTCCCAGCCTCTCTGAGGAAAGTCTCCCGGGCAGAAATCATCCTTGTAAGAGAATCATGTCTAGCTGGGCAAACTGAGGGAGCAGCAGAAAGTGAAAAAGAGTTCCACCATTTATTAGCACCTACTACGTACCAGACACCAGGCATGGCACATCACACATCTTTTCACAGTAACCAGAGAGAATGGAGGCTCTGTGCAGTTAAGTTGTCTGCCCAAACGCTTAGAGTAAATGGCTTTATAAACGACACCATGTTTTCTTGTCCCCATACCCTTACTGTTCAACTTCTTCTATGAGCTCCCCTCCCCCACACTTCTCTTTGGGATTATGAGGGAGTTGGCGAACCAAGGGCTTTTGGCACATTCTACAACCAAGATGGATGAAGAGAATGGGCTCTGGATTGAAAGGAACCTAGATTTAAATTCCTCCCTGACATTTACCAGCAGTTGTGACTTTGGGCAATGTATTTAACCTCTCTAAGCCTCGTGTCCTCGTCTATAAAATGGGGATGATAGCAGTATCTACCTCAGAGCATTATGAGAAATTAAATATGCAAGGTGCTAGGTTCAATATATTATATGTTCTAAAATAAATTATGATTTTATACAGAAACATCCAGAGTAGTCTCTGTGGAAGTAGCCTTGAGTTGTATGAGAGGAGATACATGAGATGCAGAGGAAAGAATTCTCAGTGCTTGAGGTGGAGGCTGAAGAAAGGGGCCTTCATGTGTTCTTATTCTTCAGCTGGAGGGATGTGTGGGGGAGAAGTCCTGGTCCAGAGGGTGTCACAAGACCTCACACTGGATCCTAATCTCACCAGGACAAACAGATCCCACCATATTGTCCGGCCTTGACTTCCCCCGGCTCAGGTGTCTGAGACTCCAGGGTGGCCTCCTGGGGTGGCCCTGGTCCTAAGCCTCTTCCAGCCCATTGGGTCCCTCAGACCAAGAAAATGGCAGCTGCGAGGCCCCTCTGACCTCCCAGTCTTCAGGGTCAAAGTCACTGGGGCACGAAAGTCCCCCTGTTCTGACATTCTTTACCTCCCCGTCCCCCGGAGCCCCCCTTTGGAATGTGTGTGGAGAGGGGCCATGGGTCATTCAGGCAGGTCTGAAGGGGGGCCAGAAGGACTGGCCCTCCACTCACGGCCCCTCGGGGGCTTTCCCTGAGGCTGTCCCCATGCTAAGCTTCTTTCCCCACTGTTGTTGCCCATGTAAATGTACTTCTCAGGTTCCTGCCAACACACTTGGTTCTGTAATGTTGTTTAATAACTTGAGCCACCTTAATGAAATATTCATCCTCCTTGCTCTGTCGGAGCAGTCACCCAGGTTCCCAGAAATTTCTCTCTCTTCGTTTTTGAAGACAGCCCCACAGGCAGAGGATCCTCCCTGAGTGAGGCCTGGGGACCCCCAGCCGAGGCCGGCAGAGGAGCTGTGGGAGCATTCCTCCATAAAGGGGAAGACTGGGGGGCACTGGTCCCGGGATCCTCCTGAGGGTGCCGGAAGCCCTATGCTGAATGGCCAGGGGCAGGGTATTTGAGTCGGATGCCCAGCATCAGACCCCGACTCCGGGGAAGGGAGACACCTTCCCCTGGAGATCAGCATCCTAGCTAACTGCTGG